GGACCACAGATTGAGAACAATTGGCTTAATGTGTATTAATTTTCACAATTTGGCTATTTTCTTACTTTAGAAAGCAGGCCTACTCCCTTATATTAGCCTTCCAAACCTGGTGCCATTCAGATGTGTCAAACTAAAAACCATGTCTACATTTGGAAAAATTACATTTTTTGACTATATCTATAAGATTTCCTTCAAAGAGAGATCTCTTCCTCCATCATGCCTGGGAATATAATAAGAGTTGCAGTCAAATACAAACTTGGACAAGGTTGGGAAAGGCAATCTTACCAAGAAAACAAGTAGGTTTTTCAGGAGAGTTGGTCTCATTACTTGGGGTTCTGTGGAGTAATATATACCTCTATTCCCAATACATTTCCCCCCTCATGAGTCCACATCACTATCAGGTCTTGTCCAATAAAAAAAAAGGTCCTAAGTTATAGCAATGGCACTCTGCCCCATCTTGCTCCAAATGGTCTGACAGGTTCATGCCTCTGAGCCTGTTACCTCCCTCCTGGTTTTTTGGAGCAGTGCCATTGTAAAACCTCAACACACCTGCAAATACCTTTATGCTGAATCAGAAGGCGCTGGTGCCAGGTGGGGATGGGTGCCACAGTTTTATTGCCTCTTCAAATACAAAAATGAAGCTTCCTTTTCTTCCTTTGCTCATTCTGAGGTTTGTCTTTTCATGCTGAAACTTTGGTTCTTGCCTCAAGACCTGACAAACCTATACAATTGCCTTCTGTATCAACAGATTCTGTATCCACAGATCAAATAACCCATGGCTTGAAAATATATTTTTAATATCCAAAAACCAAACCTTTGGCCATCTCATATAAAAGATATGTTCTTACTATGGCATTGTGTATAATGGCACTTGAGATCCACAGATTTTTGTATTCACTAAATACTAAATCCCAGTAGATACAAAGGGCCCAATGTATACCTTTTTCAGGAGATGCTTTTTTAGGTGGTGTGTGTCATGACCCTATCCTTAGGTGCCTGGGTTTCTCCTTATTAAATGGGTTTAGAGCTGTAGCCCGACCCATCTGTGAAAGCTTTATGTTGGCAAGAGTGCTTTGGCTAACAACTGGGAAGGAGGTGGCCATATTTGGCTCCAAGTCTGAACTGGAATTTGAAAACATTTTCCCTGAAATGCTTCCCACCGTCTGCTCAGGAGACAATGGTAGCAGTGATGTGTTCTGTGTGGACTTAGCAAAAATCATCCTATGATTAGGAGGTGAAGTAATGTCTGACCATCTGAGATTACCTGTCAGCTGCAATCTCATTATAGATGGTTACTATTAATTGGGCACAATGCAGCTGCTCCACCTGAGCCTGCTTCTGGAAAGGAAAGCTGCCGTCGATGTTGCAGTGCCAACTCACAATACAATATTGGCATGATATCTTGGCTAAACACTTTGTTATTTTAGGCTTGTGTTTGTTACAGTAGCCAGACAAATTAGGCTCAAATGTCCTGATGCCAACTTCAATGGTTGGAAACAACCATTGAAGTTCGTTAATTTTACAAACCTTTCCATTAATTTGAAACTACCGTTTTTGAATTTACAAACTGCAGAATATTCCATGTAGCCAACCCTCCTCATCAGTTATTCATTTTTAAAGAATCCCAACCATAGCTATACATTCAGTTTAAAACTGGCAAGGGCTGGTATACATCCAAAGACAGGTGGACTGCATTTGGGCACTCAATCTATTTCACAGACCCCAAGAAACCTTCCCAAAGCCCTCAACCTCACAAAATGTAAAACTTTTCAATCACTTTTCTTTACAAAATACCAAATGTGCCAGAGAAACATGATGGTCTGTATTCCCCTGTCCTTTGCTGTTCCCCAAAACATATCACAAACTGAGGAAAACCGCCATTCTGAGCTCAAATCCAAAAGAATGTAAGTAATGTATCACGTCTGGTTGGGCTGGTGGTGGTTCTGCAGCTCACAGACCTCTCAGAATTATCAACTCACATTCTATAATACTTGAATTACCTTTCTCATTCTGTTTGAAGTAAATAGTAGCTGATCATTAATCAATGATGAGTTTTCTAACACTATTGCATGGAGATGGTAAAGGGTCAATTGCAGGTCATAATGCAAGAATTCTATATGGACAAATTAACATTGCATGTTACTATGGGTGAGACAGTCTTGATGAAATTAGCAGTTAATTGAGTGACTTTTTCAAGACAAACAAGCATGAGAGGTCTCCAATGCAGAGGGAAACATGAAGCAGGAGGCACACGATTATGAAACAAAGTGAAACCCTCTCATCTTTATGCTTGGATCCCAATCTGAATAATTCCTTTCCCAATTATACAATTTTTAAAAGGCAGTTCAGTTCTCAAGAGGCAGAACTCAATGTCATCTTTTCAACTAATCAGGCAACAGTACAGTATGACGCTTCATTCTGCAGGATCGGTACCTGCAGTTACCTAGGACTTTCAATGTTGTTGTCAGAAGTTGACCACAGAGTTACATTGGAGGACTTTGAAATGGCACAAAGATGTTCTCTTTAGACATTGTCTATGGCATTCTTCCATGGGAAATTGTTCATTTCAATGGGGTTCATTATTACCATAAGAACTGAAGATATGGGATTGTACTATGTTTTCCAAACTGGCATAGTTAGAACTTGGAAGAATTAAGTTTTATAATACCAATAGTCACATAATTATTTTCCAAACTCTGGATATGACTCCCTCAAATTTCAAAGAGGCCAAACCTTTCCTAGTTAGCTACTAGAAAAGAATAAGAGTCCAAGAACAAGCAACCATCTGAACCCTTATGTCCCCTTATGCAGCTGGAGGTGGAGCGTGGTTCAAGCAGTCTGGCTGAGAATAACTTCCAGTTTCGGGTTAGCAGTGGGACTTTTGCAGACCTCTAAACATTCTTGAAATACAGCTCCCATCAGTCCTACCCAGTGGTTAATAGTGAGGAATGCTGAGAGGTGTGGCCTAACATCATCTGGGGGGCTGTATTTGGCTCATCCGTTATAAAGAGCTGAGACAGGCTATTGGTTTCTCTAAATGTAGAGTACCATTGTTTCTAAGTCCCACTATATTCAATAGGTTTTTTTTTGTTTGTTTTTTTACCATGGAAGCATTTTTTACCATTTGGAAGCATTTGGAGCCCTTGGTGGCACAGTGGATGAAACCGCTGAGCTGCTAAACTGGTTGACCAAAAGGTCGCAGGTTCGAATCCAGGGAGCAGCATGAGCTTCCACTGTCAGCCCCAGCTTCTACCAACCCAGCAGTTCAAAAACATGCAAATGTGAGTAGATCAATAGGTACTGCTTTGGTGGGAAGGTAACGGCACTCCATGCTGTCATGCTGGTCACATGACCTTGGAAGTGTCTATGGACAACGCCCGCTCTTCGGCTTGGAAATGGAGATGAGCACCACAACCCAGAGTTGGACACGACTGGATTTAATGTCAAGGAAACCTTTACCTTTACCTAGCATTTGATGGAATAAACAGCGGTTTTTGTACTTGCTGCTGCTCTCTTGTCCATTAGTGTTGAGATAGCTTAAAAAAGAGTGGAACTAGCATCTTCCATCTTCTTTATCTGTTTGCTTTTCCTCAGTAACCCAGCTAACTCCAAAACATTGGGCAGATAACATTGCCTGGTTCAGTCATGTTTAACTAACAACCTTCTGTTATAAAAGGCAAAGAACTAGCATAAGCCAAGCCCTTCCAGTTCTTTACCTGTTTGCTCTTTGATGAAGGCAAACATGCGCCGCATGTCTCCTCCCATATTTTTTCTTGTTTTTTTAGATTATCTTAGAGACTATCAGATCATTACTATCCAAGAATCCATTTCCTTAAATAAATATAACTCCTGTTGAGGATTTTGAACTTTTTTTCCACCTGCAGCTTGGTTTTTTTAAGCACACTATTCTAAATTGGAAACTTCCATTGTGACTGGAGTAAAGATTCAAACAGGCTTTTAATTCCAATATTAACATCTCACAATCATTCTCCTTTAACATCTTTCACACTACAGTCAACATCTCCACATTTGCGAGTTGAGCATTTTCAGATCCATGGGTTTGCTGCCTACGCCCCCCTCCCTCTTTGAGGTCTGCGATTCGCTCATGCACATTCATGCTGTAGCCTTGGGCTTTGGGAGTGGGCACACCAACAATCACCACAGCTGTTGCCAGTCACTTTCCTGAATGTAAATGTGTGCACCAGTGTTAGGGTTCATGTGGACAGGCAACAGCAATCCCCCTTGCCAACCTCTTCCAGAAACCAACAGAGCAGCAGGCATATGGAGGGACTTGGCATTTCATTGCTGTCACTCTGCCTCTCCAAATCTGCAGAGGAGCATAGCAACAATGATGTCCCTTGCCAACAGCTCCCAGAAGCCTGCTTGTGTGTAGCCTTCAGGGGGCAGTTGGCAACAACCATCACCGTTGCTTCGCTCTTGCAATCACCTTAGGAAATCAGGACCCCAGTGATCTCATCTGTCAACTACAACTCCCAAACTTGTGAATTCATGTTTTGGTGGGGGGACGGGACTGGGATAACTGTTTTTCCATTGTCCCCACAGCTTTGGGGGCCATCAGATTTCAGGTGAGTTTGTAGGAAGTCGGGGGGAGGCAGCGTTCTTTCATTCTCCTGCTGTTGCAAGTACAGCTCCAGACTTTGAAAGGATGGACAGTAGTTGTAATCACTTTTCCTCCCCTTCCTCTCAGGGCCTGGGATCACTATGTGAATGTACACACAGCAGCATCTCTGTGTGTACATTCACCAACCCCCAGAGTTGGACACGACTGGGGAAAACCTTTACCTTTACCTCACCCAAGGAGCTCCTCTGGTCATTCTAAGCAAACTACAAACCCCAGGATTCCACGGGATGCAGCCATGGCAGCTAAAGTGGAACCACAGTGATATAACCTTCAGTGTTAAAGGGCCCCAGGTTAGTCTGTGCAGAAGGGCAGCCAAAGAAGCACCACCAATCAGTGCAGAACACTACACAACCAGAAGTATGAACGACTAAACAATTTTTTTATTAAAAAGAAAAGAAATAAATACTGCAGAAACAATAACCAAACATACAAAGAGACTGACATTTGTTAAAACATGGTGGTTGTTGTGTTGAAACAGTTAACTTATTTTTCTTTTTACAAATACTTAAATACAAGAAAGCACTTGCCAGCTATTTTTTTCTCTCTTTTTAATACTGCCTTAAGCATATCATCGTATCAATCAGAAGCATATTATGGTGGCAATATATCTGGAATTTCTGTGGAAATAAATACTTCAAAAATGAAGTGCTGGAGAAGGAAAATGCTTGCATCCAGCAAGCCTTAGGGACACTTTCTCACAGCAGAGTTTTGGTGTGTCCTCCGAAACATAACAACATCTGCAAACTATTTTCAAGATTGGCTTAGTGGATGTAACAATAGTCAACCAGTCAGTGAAAAGGAATTTGACAGAATGTGGGTCATACAAGCCATTTTTAATATGATCACTGTCTGGATATGCTTGTATTAGACCTTCAGGATTCATGCAATATCCAGTTTCCACTGGGGACCCCTTAAAAGCTCTGCCGTTCCTGCTGGCTCCTCCTCATTTCCTTAGAGTGCTCATTACAAGTAAACAAAAAATGTGTAATAAGAGACGGTCATCCATATGCAGCCATTTTAAGAGATGCATTGTGATGAAGATAATTGGGTAGGTTGGCTCATGTGCTAGCTTTCAACAACAACAACAACGACAACACCCAGTATAGAAGTGTAGAAAATTTGTATAGCAGAACAGCACTTATTCCCTTAACACAGTGCTGAGGCTGTTTTCCTTCATACTGAAGGAGGCAATTAGGAGGGAAGTAAGACTAACATTCCTTTCTAATTAAGGAGCTTTTAAATACCTAAAACTTAGCACCATTCATTTGTTAGGGCGTTGAGATTTAACCCAAGATATCCCAATAGCCTACAATTTCCTTATGAAAACGGCATCAAAACAACTTGGCTCTTAGACCATGATTGGATTTTTTATGAGAGTCAGAATGGCGAAGAGGAAGATTCTGCACTTGAAAATTACCCTTAAATCAATAACGTATACATATTTTAAAATTCCCCCCCCCCCCCTTCCCATTCTCTTCTGGGCTTTTGCACTTTTGACATTTCTAGATGCTCTTTGAATCTGACTTGCTTAATTTCTTTCAATCTCCAGCCATCTCATTAAGAAATTATATTTCAAAGCCTCTTAACACAGCTTTTTCCCTCTGGATGACCACTCTTTCCAATTTTGAGGATAAACATAAAGGAAAAGCAATCGTATCCTTTGGGTGGTGGGAAATCAAACTGTCTCATAGGGGAAACCTTCAAAACGAAGAGAGTAGGAATATTGCAAATTTATTTTAAAAGCAATATTTTTTTGCACGGTAATCAAAAATCAACGTCGGTATTCAAAAATAGATCTAAAAATAAGCATCCTCCAGGACATCGCTTTTTCCGGTGCTACCGATCCTTTCATTTCTCTCGCACATTCAAAAAGAGCTCCCTTCATATTTGGTATTTATCCAAGTAACATTGACATCCCTTCAGAAATCCACTTCTACACAACGGCTCTCCCAGTACAGTTTCTTGCCCAATGCGGGTGAGCCACGGGCTTGAAGCATTGACTGCCCATAACAATAGACCATTTTCCTTGGGCACTTCTTGTCAAGTCTTCACCTCTCCCACACAAACACACTGTCCTTGCCATCTTCGTTCAAGTGACAGAGCCATTCACATCACTGTACAACTCTTAGCTTTGTCCTTTCGCAGGTCTGTAGTAACTGTTGAGAGTTCTGGCCGGCCAGGCATGTGCGAAATCCGTTGTTTTGCCCTCTGTGACTTGTTTCGCTTGACGTTTTTATTCGTTTTGTTCACGCAGGCCAGCGTAGCCACATGGAAAATGTCTCTGACACTGTTTTCTGACTGCAAGGCTGAGCATTCAATATAAGTGGCTGCTCCAATCTGCTTGGCCATGTTTGCTCCCTGGGAAAGGGTGGAGAAAGAAGGAGAAAAAAAAGAAAGAGGTTCAATTTATTTGATTTCTGCTCTGTTTTCCTCTACCTGTGCAATGAGAGTGAAGATGATACTGAGAGCAGCCACCAACAGAAGCCCACATAGAGTTACCACAAGCTGAACAATCAGAAAATGATAACTGAAAATAATGTGAAGATACACATTTTCCCTAGTTAGCAACTGTAATCTAATACTAGGAGCCCCTTGTGCTGGCAGGATTGCTGACGGAAAGGTCTGCGGCTTGAATATGCGGAGCGGGGTGAGCTCCCATCTGTCAGTACCAGCTCCCCATGCGGGGACATGAGAGAAGCATCCCACAGGATGGTAAAACATCTGGGCATCCACTGGGCAACATCCTTGCAGATGGCCAATTCTCTCACACCAGAAGTGACTTGCAATTTCTTAAGTTGCTCCTGACATGAAAAAATCTAATAATATAATAATAAAATATCTAGAATTTAGTTTACAGTCCATGCAAACACAGCAATTGTATAGATGCAACTTCAATAAAATGTGCTTTTAGAAAATAAGGCCAGCTTGTTTCTATATATATGGCTAGCACATCTTCATATCCTATGTACTCTTCTTTTTATTTCTGTTTTTACTTTGTATTTTTTTTAGATAAAGTGAATAGAAAATAGAGATAAACCCACTGAGAAAGCCATAACAAGGGGATCTGAAGACTACAATAATAACTGGGTTGGCAGTAGTGGAAAAAGAAATGACCTACTTATTTGTGTGCTTTTGGCCTGACAAACATCAGGATCAGTTAGAGTAGTGTAATATAGGGTTCTGTCTTTCACAGTTCATTACTTTATGTCAATGGTCCAAAGTCCTTACATGTCTAAAAGTCGTCATGAAACCTCCTAGGATGGCATGCCCACTAGACCTTTGCATTAGACAGAGCTCATGAGAGCTCTTAGTCACAGCTAGAAAGAAGAAGGGGTTTCAACATTTTCCAGAGCCCTGGTGTTTGACATAAAAGTTGACTGTTGAGCTGTGACTGGATTAGAAATTCACAATATCTGGACAAATGCACTTTATTTGCCAAGGAAAACATGTTGCATTCATGCCTGTGGTACAAAATAATGTTTGTGACTCTGCTCATCTAGAAAATAGACATTTAGGTAAACTATTTTACGCCTCAGCAGCAAAAAAAAAAGAGAGGGGTGGCATTATACATCAAAGAAAATTTAAACCCTGAGTTAGCCTTTAAGGATAATGATGGGAGAATGATAGGGGTGAAGTGTGAAGTAAATGGCTTAAGTATACTCATTTGTAATATCTATGCACCCAATGGAGCTAAGTCCGGCTTCGTAAAATCCTTAAAAAAGAAATTAACAGAGTACAGGACCGAGAACATAGTGATTGTGGGAGATTTTAATGGAGTTCTAGACAATAAAATAGACAAAGCTGGCAAAAAAACAAGGGGAGGAGACCCTAAAGGTGGGAACCTGCCATTGATCTTCACACAATTACAAAAAGAATTCCACCTACAAGATGCTTGGCGGACTCTGAACCCAGAAACAAGGGACTATACCTTCTTCTCAAAGAGGCATGAGACATGGTCTCGTATTGATATGTGCTGGATGTCCAAATCGCTAATTACTAAAACCAAGAAAGTAACAATATTACCTAGAACCCATACCGACCATTGTCCATTGAAAATTGATATGGCAATTAGACAACAAGAGAAAAGATGGAGACTTAACGATTGGTTAATACAATCAGAAGAGGATATTAAACACAATAAGAAAATAATTAAGGAATATTTCGAGAATAACATAGGTAAAGGAACCACACTAGGAACAGTATGGGACGCCAGTAAGGCGGTTATTCGTGGACATCTTATACAGCAAGGAGCTATTAAAAGCAAAAAAAGGAGAGAGGAGCAAGGGAAATTGGTGGAAAAATTAAAAAGCAAAGAGGACGAACTAAAGAGAAGGCCGGGAAACAAAAAAATCCAGCTAGAGATAGAAGTGCTGAGGAAAGAGGTGAATGCGGCCCAATTAAATCAAATGGCCAGGAAACTAAAATACTTAAGGGCTCAATTTTTTGCAAAAGCTAATAAGCCGGGGAAATTTCTGGCAAGAATGCTGGCGAAGAGGAGACAACAGAATTTCATTACACAAATAATAGAAGAAGGTAAGACCTATACGAAGGAAAAAGAGATTGCAAGGAAATTCAGGGAATATTATCAAAAATTATATAAGAAAGATGTAGTCTCAGAGGAGGATATAATGAAGTACATCTCTGATCAGAAAATTCCCAAAATATCCGACGCAGAAAGAGAATCATTGAATAAGGTTATAGAAGAAGAAGAAATTACAAGAGCTATAAAGAAGATGGCCAACAACAAAGCCCCGGGCCCGGATGGGTTGTCGGCATTTTACTACAAAACATTCAGGGAAGAATTAATCATTTGCTTAAGAGAAGTAATGAATAACATCTTGAAAGGTGAGGGGATGCCGGAGACGTGGAATGAGGCATACATATCGCTAATTCACAAAGAGAACACAGAGACTACAAAACTTAAAAACTACCGCCCCATCTCCCTTCTGAATTGTGACTGTAAGATATTCACAAGCATAATAGCAGAAAGATTTAAAGCACTACTAAGAGTAAAAATCAACGAGGATCAAAGAGGTTTTTTACCGGGAAGGCAGATGAGAGATAATAGCCGATTACTCCTTAACATCATAGAGTATTACGAAAAAAACCACCAAAAGGAAGTAGGTCTGCTTTTTCTCGATGCGGAGAAAGCTTTTGACCACACGAACTGGGACTTCCTACTACTCTTGTTGAGGGAAATGGATATAGGCTACCCTATAATGAATGTGGTAAAGACAATGTACTCCAAACAAACAGCAAATGTACTAATCAATGGCCTGCGAACAGAGGAAGTGGAAATACAAAGAGGGGTAAGGCAAGGGTGCCCTCTCTCCCCTCTTTTGTTTATTTTGGTGTTGGAAGTTTTATTGGAGGACTTAAGAAAGGATAAAGAGCTAAGAGGCCTCAAAATAAGATCAGAAGAATACAAAACCTTAGCGTTCGCAGATGATGTGGTCTGCATTATGGAGTCTCCATTAGAAACTATTGAAAAATGGATATCTAAAATTGAAAAATTTGGTGTACTAGCAGGATTTAAGATAAACAAAAATAAAACAAAAATTCTTACTAAAAATGTTAAGGCAGAAAGAAAGGTAAAGATTGTTTCAAAGTCTGGAATTGAAGTGGTCAATAAAATTAAATATCTAGGCATAGTAATTTCGGCTTCAAATATGAATCTGTTTAAGGATAACTATGAAAAAACCTGGGGTAATATAATAAAGAAATTCAACAACTGGAAATATTTAAATCTATCTATACTAGGAAAGATTGCAGCCATAAAATTGAGTGTATTACCTAAGATGATTTTCATGTTCCAGATGATACCAATTATTAAGACAAATACATGTTTCCAAAAATGGAACAAACAAATATTAAATTTTATATGGGAGGGGAAAAAAGCCAGAATTAAGATTAAAAATCTCACAGACGCCAAAAGTCGGGGAGGATTGGCCATGCCGGACATGCAGCTGTATTTTGAAGCCTGTGCCCTATCATGGGTGAAAATATGGGCTACCCTGGAGCAAAAAAAAATATTAACTATAGAAGGTTATGACATTAGAAGAGGGTGGCACGCTTACCTAAGCTATGGAAAGGCAAGGATAGAAAAAAACTTTACTAATCATTACATCAGAGGCCCCCTACTAAAGACCTGGAACAAGTATAAAGACATCATTTACCCCAGAATACCCATGTGGACATCGCCAATAGAGGCATATCATAAAAGAGAGTTACCGAAAAGTAGATGGCTTAATTACAGGCAACTATTGGTTAAAATCAACAATGAATGGCACCTGAGGTCTATGGAAGAATTAAAGAGGGAAGATAAAGAACTAAATTGGCTACAATATATACAAATTAAAGAAACTTTAAAGGAAGATCTAAAAGTGGGATTTAGCGAAAAGGACACGTGTTGGGATATAATTATGAAAAAGGATAAGAAGCTGGTTAGAATCTTGTATCGAAACCTGTTAGAGTGGAATACTGAAACGGAAATAGTAAAAGAAAATATGGTCAAGTGGGCCAGGGATATAGGCCACTCTATACTAATAAGCGAATGGGAACAAGTATGGAAGGTCAAGCTTAAATACACTAGAGCCAGCAGCATAGTAGAGAACTGGCACAAAGTTTTTTATAGATGGCATTTGACACCTGTACAATTGGCGAAATTTAGTAAAAATAACAATACGCAGTGCTGGAAGTGCGGAAAGGAAGCTGGAACCTATTTCCATTTGTATTGGAATTGCAAGAAGATTAAAAAATTTGGACGATGGTTCATTTACATACACAAAACATTATTAAAACAAAGTTTGAGCTCAAACCTGAATATTATTTATTGAACATAACAGATTTAGGTCTGAAGAAAAATGAAGAAAAAATTTTGTTTTATTTATTGTCGGCAGCCAAAATATTGATAGCCCAGAAATGGAAAAGTAAAGAGATTCCAACTAATGAAGATTGGATAAAGAAAATAACAGATTTCAGAATTTGTGACAGATTATCGAGTCAAATAGAAGAACTCAGTAAGACCAAACAAATAAGCTGGAAGGACATGGAAGAATATTTGAAAAGCAAATTCAAACTGGACACTTAAAAGTCGATGGGTAAGAAGAGCAAGGACAGCAAGGAACAGGAAAAAGGAACAATACAACGAGATAATCACTCCTTTGCGGACTGAACGGAAGTGATGCACACATTCGTCTGACCCCCATCCCATTCTCCACCCATTCCTACCTCCCCTTTATCCCTTCTATTCTACTTCTGGGCCCCTCCCTACCTCTCTTACCCCGCCTACCCTTTATTTTATCCCCCACGGTCTGTCTAAACTTCACAACTTTCTATCACAATAATTGTTCTCCCTCTTTCACTGTAAAAGAAAATGGTATAAAAATTAATTAAAAAAAACAAAAACAAAATAATGTTTGTGCAGAAGATTTCCAGGTCTGGGAGGTATGTTATTTTTTCCTAACACAGGTCAAGAAGTTGAATGAGTTTTTTGTGACTTTCTGATGTTCACTTTAAAAATCTAACAAGTTTCAGAGGACAACAAATCTAGTCAAACTGGGTCAGGCAAAACCACCCCTCAGTTTTCCTCCCTAAGTTAGCCTTTCCCAATCAGGGGAACTTTCAGATGTTTTGGCCAGCTGATAGGAGCTTGCCAACAATTTGATAAGGTAGGAATCATAATTCAAAATATTTGGAAGGTCACTGGAATTTCTTTTGAAGTGATAGAATGGAGCTCTTCTAAAAGTAAGAGATTAGGAGTGTTTTGAGATCAGATGGCATATGTGCCAGTCTTAATGAAAGCTATGGGGAAGCTAGAGGGAAACCAACACACAGTGGTGCTGGCAACATCCGTAGTTTGGAGGGGGCTGAATCCGCTTTCACTTTAAATGTGCTATCCTGATCTAGTTCAGCATCTGGATCATTCAATCCAACTATAGACTAAAATCTGGAGCTATTTTGCTCACCTACTAACATGGAAGCCACCAGTGGCCACTACAAACAAGCACACAGATGCATATGTGTGCGTGCACACAAGCAAGCCTTGAAATCAATAGGATTTGCTTTCTGATAAGCAGGGCTGGAATTAAACTGTATGGCTAAAGGACAGGAGAAACAGCGAGAAAAAAAAGTTATTTCAGATCTCTAAGCCTTTCCCTAAATCAATAGGATTAATCTTAAAGAAGGGCTGCTTGTCACTGAGCCATTGACAGCTGCTCAAAACAACTAAGGGTTTTATAGAAGTATAGATAAAGGATGCTTGCAGTTATTCTGTACAGAAGGCTCATAAGCTGGAACAAAATAAATAGCTTTCCCGTTTTCCTGTTGCACGTTCTGTAACATATTTGCTCTGAATTAGGGATGTGGAAGTTGGAGAGGATGCAGACTGTAGATAACTGCCAGAAAACAGTTCTATAGCTAGAAAAATAAATTTTGCCACCAACATTAGGAAACACCTCACATACTTTATCAGTATCTGGTCTAACTGCAACTATCTGATAGGCATCCAGAAACCATTAAATTGCTGAACATAACGATAAGCAGATTCAGAAATGTGGGCTGCCTTGCTGAAGCAACTAAACTTTGTGCAAACTTAGCATTTGGAGGAGAAAGAAGGAATCCTTCAACCAATATGTGTGAACAAAGCTCATCTCTTAACATGCTCAAGTGGCAAACAGATGGCTTTGGATTTGGGGAGTTGATTAATCTCCAGCAAGAGAACTTAACCACAGAAACAGGACACTGGTAACAACTCAGAAGAAAAATATTGGGGTAGACCAACTTTATTCGTTATTATAGAAAGCTTTGATTTAGTATCCACAGAAATGCAGCCCACAAAGCAACATACCCTAAAGCCTTGGGAAAAAGCCAAACCATATGACTTAGAAGCCCCTACCAAAAACAACACAGCTCTAGGGGTTTTCTAGTCCCTATAGCTTCCCCTGCAATGTTTCTGTGTGAACTAGGGGACAGGCAGAGAATGAGATTATATGGTAGTAGCCATTATACAGGACCACAGACAGTCATTGCTAACTTGGAAACAATGCAGTGGTTTATGGCTAAGATGAACTTTTTGGGAAGGAAGGGTGGCAGAGGCAGGACAAGCAATGGATTTTTCTTTCTTATTACAGTGCTATTTTGAAGATGTGCAGCTCTGAGATTTGGTTCCAGAGTTTACCTCATTCAACACTATGTTCTGTTATGAGTTTTAAAATTTAGTAGGGCTTTTAAAAATACATTTTAGTCTTGATTCTGGATATTAGAATCACTTCCACAAGAACTGGAACTGAACAGGAAACAATGTGGGGGTCATGTGAGATTGAAGTGCTCCCAGGAAAAATGATGTTGGTAAAGTTGAAAACAGAAGATTCTCTGCTGTTCCATGTGTGTTCCTATGACAATTCTGTGAAATTTCATCTTCTCTATTTTTTCTTCCCACCCCAGAATTTCTGCCATCAGGAAAGAAATAATGGAGATGCAGTGCCTTGTGGCTATTGGATATGTATCCAAACTCTTGACATATTCTATTTCCCAGTTGTTGTTTTTTTGCAAAATGTGTCCAGACATTGTATTCATTAGTTCTATATTCCAAGTGCAGGCAACTTCCAAATGTTTTAGACTGCAATTCCCATAAGACAAGTTACAAATGATTAGGGTAGGTGCCCAGAAAAATGTGAATAAAATAGATATATGGAGCTGTAGTCCAAAAATATTTGACATTAAATCTCTATATTATTATCTTGGAGTTAGACCCAGGGAACTCACAGCTGAATAGTCACTCTGGACTGCGCTACTAAATCTAAGTGACCTAAACAAAAGCAAGGTTAATTCTGTATTTTTGCTTGAGAATGATAGGTCATCAATGACTCAGCAAAATCTTCATGAATGTCAAAATATTTTGCCCATATGCAATTCAAGTAGGACAAGTTTCTTGAAAGTCAGTTATTAAGCAACCCACTGACAAAACTTTGTCTGGAAAAAGAAAAGCAATATTTCTTGCATAAACTGACTTCAGTCCTGTCTTTATATCAAGTTGCTTATCAAGTTCCAACAGATACAAAACAGAAAACTAAAGGGCTTGGCATTGTCTAGTCTAGTAGTTCTCAACCTGTGGGTCTCCAGATGTTTTGGTCTTGAACTCCCAGAAATCCTAACAGCTGGCAAACTGGCTGGGATTTCTGGGAGTTATAGGCCAAAACACCTGGGGACCCACAGGTTGAGAACTGCTGCCAAAATGAAAAACCAGCACTATAGAACTAGCAACTCTATTTTTTTAAAATGTGATTGTGTAATGAGGACATTGATCCCTAATGCTCAAAAGAAACTGTAAAACTTACAGAGAGTAGCCAAGTGTATTTGAAATTACATTCATAATTTTCAATTGATTTTTTTCTCAGTTAACTATACATGTGAGTGTCTTAGTAGTGGGTAATTTGACTGTTGCACTTACACTGGATTTATGTTTGTAAATATCTCTCTCTCATATGTAGTCCCCACATTACAATGCCATGGGGGAAAGAAGCGTTAGCTTCATGTAAATCTCTACCTCACTTCTTAGATTTTTTTTCATGTGAGGAACGACTTGAGAAACTGCAAGTTGTTTCTGGTGTGAGAGAATCGGCTGTCTGTAAGGACATTGCTCAGGGGACGCAGATTTAGAGAAATCAGTGGAGGGGAGTATGTGCCCTTCCAAGACTGCAAATTTCTCTATCACTCATTACTGCCTATGGTGGTTAAGGCTGATGGGAGGTGTAGTTAAACATCATCTAGGACTCCAGTACAGAGCATAAACTAAATGATATGCTATGGTACTGTGCATCAGACTCTCAATTACTACTGAGGAGCACTTTATAATGGGGATTTCACAAAATGGATAATCACTTGTGCTACCTTCTTCCACCATGCACGTGTTATTTGCATGAGTTATTTCTGCCCATTCACATGCTTCATTTGCAGAATCCTACTACCATGACCATGTAGAGTTTTCCCCATACAGAGCTTAAAGTCATTCCATATAATATTATTAACATTCCTCAGTCAAGACATCATTTCATCATCATCCAAACTTTCTGCCATAGTTAATGGCCCAAAATGGGAATTGTGGTATTAAACCTTTGAATGTGGGAATCTGCCTTATTTGAATTGATTTTCAGCAGTGCTCCAGGGTTGCAGACTTTCCTAATCCTACTTGGGTACATTAGAGACAAAAACCATGGCAATCCATTGACAGCACAGGTATTTTTTAAAGTTTCCATTTCAAAGTACTACATGTCAGCAGCCTTGATGTGTCATAACAGCCTAGAATCAATGATAGCAATGATAAAGTGGTCAAAATCAGTGTGATATACCTAGCACTTCTTGAAACACTGTATCCCCAAAACCAATTGAATAAAATAAAGTCATTAGCAATCAAAATGTCATATTGCACTTACTTGATCATATGATACTGGCGTTTGCCTGTGATTGGACAGCTCTACTAGTGTACTAACATCTGTGCGAAGGTCAGACTTGCAGCCCACAAGAAGCATTTTGGTGTTGGGACAAAACTCCTGGATTTCACCTTTCCACTGCAAAAATATTATTTTGTTAGACTCCCATTGCCACAAAAGTGATGAGATGAATCTCTTTGTACACTTAAATCTTTTAAAGAGCTGTTATTCATAGTCTCTTGTGTCATCATTTGAATACATATACATTATACTGAAACTGTGGAATTAAGCAATTGTCATTTTCCAACCTGTTAAACACTTCCAGTGGAAGACTCACTGGACAGATAGCAGAAACAGTGATCAATTTCTAGGCACAAAGAAGAGCACTGAAATGTTATATCTTTGGGCTACCATCTTCCAGAATTTCATATCATTACTGGGGGATTTTGGGCACTGCAGTTTAAAAAGCAACTTTATCCACATTCTAGCATATTGATGTGCAAGTCCAATTTCCACAAGAACTTCAACATGAAGGAAGGTGGATGTCACAAAGATCCCACCATGTGAAAACTTTCAGCTGTGAAAGAAAATGAAGCTTTGCCTAATTTATAACTTTTAAAAAAAATCTATATCCTACAATTTGCTTTTCATATGGCAATACCCTGAAATAGACCAGGAAAATCTTTATTAGAAAGAGAGCTGTTTGCTTGTCAGAAGATGTCTTACATATCTATACTGTAACTACTTTGACTAAAGCATGAAGACTTTTCTATCCCCAGGAGTTTTGCTGGGAGAAAGAGTACAGACATGAAATATGAGGCTTGGCATTCCCTAAAGATAGGCCAGCTGCCATGGAATAGGTTACTCCCTCCCTATGACTCAACTGATGGAAAATATATAATCAGGGGAGTTTCTTAAAGCAAGTTTAAACAATCCCCCAAATTATTAACTGAAGTATATAATTAGATAAAATATGTTCTTCACTTATGTCACACATGTGGCATAGTCTGTGTGATGCACAACTTAATTTGCATTGTAGGGCAAATCGTGAGCCCTGAATACAAAGTATCTGCATACTCATGCCTAAAAACATCCAATCCACAAATGTATTCTATCAGCAACATTTCTAGATTTGGGTATGTTACAGAATATATAGAAATAGGGCATGAAATGGATGAATATCACCACAATCAATGCTGACCCATACTAACTACCATTAAAAGCAATGGAATTAAAGGATGCACAAGCCCTGCAGATACTATTTAAATGCATGGTTGAGATCACAAAGAGAGATACAAGCCTATCTTCTAGGTTTAAATTTTATATGGAGCACGGTTGAAATCTTGTAGCTTTTTCAATTTCCAGGAGTCCCAACCAGCATGGTCAAGAGTGAGGAAGAATGGGAGCTGTAGTTGTATTGAACACCACCCCTGGTAGCAAACCCAGGCACATATGACTTGCATGCACATAGGACTTTGTGCAATCAATCACTTTCCACTCTTCCTGATTGTATAGGGAAAAACACATCCACTGGACCACTTAAGTCCCATTGGATTTACAACTCAGTTTTGCTTGATTAGACACACTGAATACTTCACTGTTTTCAGCTGATGTGCTGTAACTCACAACATGCCAAGTCTGCCATGAACATCTTTGGGGAAATGATGAGAAAGACAGCTGTAACAAAGGTGCAAGGATGGGTAGAGTGTGTGTATGCACCTTCGATTGTCAACTTATAGCAATTCCTTGGATTTCATAGGGTTTTCTTAAATAATGAATATTCCGTTTCTCCCTCTGAAATATTGCTCATATCACCTGGTATGCGCTGGTTGTCTCCCATCAGAGTTCAAATCGGGACTGACTCTTCTTCATTGCTAAGATCAGACAGGGTTTAGCCATTTTTAGGATAGCTAAATACCCAAATGTGAGTGTGTGGTCATGTACTTCTAAATTAGGTTATTCCTATTCATCTACACTGCTTAATTCACAAGAGTTTACAGTAGTACAAGATAACTACGCTGTTTTGCAGTCCAAATGGTTAGCCCGTGCTTTTTTCGTGTCAGGAGCAACTTGAGAAACTGCAAGTCACTTTTGCTGTGAGAGAATTGGCCATCTGCAAAGTCATTGCCCAGATGTTTTGATGTTTTACCATCCTTGTGGGAGGTTGCTCTCATGACCCTGCATGGGGAGCCGGGGCTGGCAGGGGGAGCTCATCCACACTCTCCCTGGATTCAAACCTCTGACCTGTTGGTCTTTAGTCCTGCCGGCACAAGGGTTTAACCTTTAGCTGGGGCTCCTATGCTAAAATAGCCCATGCTAAAATATATCCACTGAAAAAACTAGTTGATGTTGAGTCAACAAACAGGTAAATCAATTGGGTTCTACCTAACACTAGGGCTACTCATAGGATTCAGGTCATCCTTCATTTGCCCTTCTTCATTTCCCATTGTTTCTCTCATCTTCTTTTGCTAACACAGAAAATCTATTATGGGAAAAATGAAGATGCAATAATTACATAATGACTTTTATCTGGGAATAGTAAGGAGCAAGGGGTTCTGCATTGAGATTAGAAAAATATATAGAACTTGGATGAAGGCAATTAATGCCTCCTATTTAAAATAAGGAGCAGTATTACCATTATTTTTGTATTCTAATGCACACTATGGTGGGCGAGGTAGGCAGAAATTCAAGCTGAGAAGGAATTTGGCACAAGATGTGCCCCAAGTCAGAATGTTGAGATGAACTCTCCCTGCTCTTCAGTGTTGACACTCTCTGTACGTCAGATTATGTTTTCAGTACACAGAAAAACTTGATTCCAAATTGGTATTGATGTTAGCAGCGATAGCAATTTTGAAAGCACGAGTATTGTTTGTTTTAGTATCACTGAACTGAGTAGCAGGAAATGAAGGTGAAAGGGGGAGTAGCAGTTGGCTCAGTTAAGTAATTTCTCTTGGAGGGGAGAAATACTGCACCTTTCCCCATAACTTGCCAAGACAAAGAGAGGGCTGTAAGTGATCCCATAGGCTTGGCCACGCATAAACACAGCAGCAGGACTGTGGCATCTTCAGCCTCCCAATGTTTTTGGGCTGCAATTTCCATAACTCTTCACCACTGGCCATGCTGGTTCAGGCTAAAGTTTCCTTACTCCAGAATATAGGTCAAACCATCTTGAGAACAAAAGTTCCCCACTCTTTTATGGCTTCCAGAAATCACATGAAACAGTGAGTGTTCAACAGCATTGGGGCTGCCAGGAATCCCAAGAAACATTGCCCTGAAAATATCTTGAATTTAACGCTTCATTTATATACAACTCCTTTTCTCAGATATCTACCTTTCCCCCCATGAAGCCGTGGGGAGCATACAATTCTCATCTAGAAGGCCGCAGGGAGCTCTCTATTTGTAACTTACCAGATATATAAGTTGAGGACAGATTACTATGACTTGTGAGTAAGTTGGAGGTGAAAGAGAAGGTAAAGTTTAAGGCACACAAGCAGGAATGCATATGTGAAAGGTGCAGATGTCTATATGGTGGACCTGGCCCAGATTGCTGTTTAAGTGCCTATTACCATATCTGGTAAAAAATGCCTGTGAAAAATAAAGGCAGCCCTCCCTCTTTCCCCACTTTTTTTGGTCTGAGCAGCATTCAACAACATAGTGGGGAACCCAAATAATATAGTGTGCCTGGTAGCCAGAATTGCAGTAAGCCCCTACAAAAATGGACATTACCACTCTACTCCAACTCCAGCATTGACCCCGGTTTTTGAGGTTGATTTTTGTCAATTTTTCCAACTTATACACAAGCATATACGGTATGCCCATCAGAGGCAGACTAACCATTTACTGCCTGTATCCATTTTGATTATAACCTTTAATCTCATCTTAGTTTTACAGTAATCTATTGGGTTGTTTTAAAAGATCACCCTAAACCAGAACTCAGAAAAGTTATTATGAATGACAATAACCAGAATCCACAATCCAACATAGCCCTGTCCAAAGGCTTTGGAGCATTGTTGTCCAAACATTAATGCTGCCAAGCTCTGAATTTATAAACAGAAATACACTTTATCTTTGAACAAGTATTACTAAAAATATTTTTACCGAACTGTAGACATATACAGTTGGAAGCAATGACATTTCATAACTTTGCACACATATCTACAGTTATTCCTGAATGCTTACCTTTTTTAATACACTGTCAAGTGTTTCTGGACGGCTAATGTCAAAACAAATTAAGACGGCATCAGAATCTGGATAGGAAAGTGGGCGGACATTATCGTAGTAAGGAGACCCTGTTAAATAAAATTAAATCTGTTAGAATTGTGTAAGAGAAAAAGAAACATTAAGTGCATGCTGTTAAATGATATTCCACAAGAGATTATGTTACAGGATATGTATCAGTGCTGGGTCTTCAGGTCCTACCACTTCAAGGTCCCATTCCAACCAGAATCAGAAGAGGACCTTATTTACTGTTATCTAAATTTATATACATCACCTTCAAATGGAACTGTCACAATCTCTATCATAGTGACACATCTCTATCACTATTTTACTTTGATTGGTATGCTGGGGTCATCTTATGGGTCAACCCACAGCCCTGCTGAATATCTCCACATTGCTGCAAAGCATTCCTGTAAGCAACCATTACCAATAGCTGACGCACATGGTGAGACACAGGCCTCACAGGCACACAGTTTTCAGCTTCCATCCAAAGTAAAAAAAAAAAAAAGGATTTGAAAGCCTCTAATCAATTCAGACAATCAAAGCTATTTCTAAAGTCTCCAAGCATTGAAATTAAACTTGGTTTAAGCAGCAGCAACAGTAACAAAAACCGTAAAAGCCACCTTGGCTTTTATTTCCAACAGGGTTTGGGGAGTCTGTGGCTTTCAGAGGTTCCCATTAGGTCTATTTATCAAAGCCAAGGGTGGGTGATGGTGCGAGGTGCAGTGCAATATAATCTGGTGTGTTAATTTTCCCCCTTTGTTTAGAATGACCATGACATTACATTAGATGCTTGTGTTCATAAAACCGGTTGAACTTGTGAAGTGTACTAACAAGCACAGTAATACAGAAGTGTACCAGTTATTTGTGAGCTGTAAACCAGGGTAGAGAAAGTGCAGGCCATGGACTGCACAACCCACTTTGCTTCCTTCAATCCCTAGGAGGACCTCAAATCTACTGGATTTATAGTGTTTGGGTGGGAATTGGTCCATTTCCAACCAAAACCGAATTCAATGAGATGCCACATCACTTCTGAATTGTACTGTCCATTGGCAATTGGCTGTTATAGAACTCATCTGCCCTGGAGAGGTTGTTCAATCCTGTTGAAGGTTATCAAGATAAGCAAAGCCATGAAAGCTGTAGATAGGTCAGTTTGGTGGGAAAAGCTATTTCCTCTGAATATATTTTTTAAATCCCATGGATGCATGGCAAGGTTGCATAACTTGTGCCACAACAAGCCAAATTGAGTCAACAATGCATAGTGGTCCACCAAAAACTTCCTTCTGGAGGTGGTGTCCTAGAACCGGAAAAACTTGGCAGGTCACAATAAGAGACTCTTTAATCAGTGGAATGGACCACCCAGGCCAACATTCCTGTCTCCACAGAACCAACCAGATGCCTCTAAAAAGCCATGCTGCCTGGGAAATTCCAACGCAATTTTTCCAAGGATTGCATACATTAATATGCAACTGTGAAAGTACAGGATCAGTAGCATATTTATATCATATATCAACTGTATAAATCTTTTCAAGTACACACAACTTAATAAACCACTAGATGGTATGGAAATTCCTTATAAGGAATTTCTCTTTTGCACTGAAGTTTTGATCTTCCCTCTAGCCATTCTGGCTAGTTCAACCGAAACTAAAACGCTTGCTGAAACAGGCCAGCTGTTATAGAACTCAATGACTTAAACACTTTGAAATTGTTAAAATGCCTCCACCAAGAATCTGAACTTTAAAGGCATAATTACTACTCTACACTGAGAAGTATAATAATAATAAAACTTTATTTACATTCTGCTCTATCTCCCCGAAGGGACTCAGGGTGGACTCAAGTGGGATCTTCAACAAGATATGGAGTGCTTATTTTCAGGGTCTCCATCAGCTACTCCATTCCCTTCTTCACTGTTCTGTTTTCTATTCTTGGCCACACTTTGGTGACCACCAAGTATAATCAGTCCTCACTCAGCCAATATAAAGAATGGGACTTCCTTACATTTTCCTCCACCTAAAATTACTGTACCTCTGCACACCTTGAGACTGCTCTGAACCTGTTCATGGCATGTGGTATTGTGCTGTTTTCCTTACAAGATCTGCCCTTAGAAAATAAGCCCAACATTGGCATGATAGGATCACTACATCCCGCATTAAAACATACAGTGTTTATAAATCCCCATAACCATGGGGGACATGTTCTAAGACCTCCCTTGTGAATACCTGAAACTGTGAACAATAATGACCCTATATTTTGACTATACTTGGACCAGAAGCATACCACAGAACAGCTTTAGAGGACCTAGGGAGGCCCAGAAGCACAGGGGTATTTTTGGAGCACAGATAAGTGAAATCATAGATATTGGATCTGTAGATACGCGTGTCCTACTATACAGAAACAAAAAGTATTAGATTAGCTAATCACTTGGAGCCCTGGTGGTGCAATGGGTTAAACCTCTGTGCCGGCAGGACTGAAGACCGACAGGTTGCAGGTTCGAATCTGGAGAGAGCGTGGATGAGCTCCCTCTATCAGCTCCAGCTCCCCATGCGGGGACATGAGAGAAGCCTCCCACAAGGATGGTAAAACATTAAAAAAACCCATCCGGGCGTCCCCCGGGCAAGTCCTTGCAGATGGCCAATTCCCTCACACCAGAAGTCAATTGCAATTTCTCAAGTTGCTCCTGACACGGAGAAAAAAAAAGCTAATCACTCATTAGTATAGGTTGCCATTTTAAAGAGTAAGAATTAATGAAAACAGGATTCCTAAGTGTTTCACAGAAAGTGCAAAAATGAAATGCATTAGAAACACTTTTTGCATAACAACACCTCCCCTCCAATGTCTTGCCAAATAGCTCCTGCTGCTTCAGGATAGCAGTAAGGTAAACAATGAAAGGAACTCATCTGAAAGCAGTCCAGCTGGACTGCAAAGGATCTCCAGGAAAGAATGTGAGGAATGTTGCTTTTGAAGAAAACAGGAACATATGGACTGAATCTTTGGTTAGGACAAGTGAGACTGCTATTTTCCTGCAAGTTCTCCACTGCTCCAATTGTGCACTCACATATTGCTTCAGAAAAGCAGCTTCTGCACATAAGATAACATTTTGTTCATCTTTCAGCAAAAGAGTAAAATGTGCAACAAGCTATTTTTAATCTCCTCAGGAAGGAGATGATCCTTCCTAGCATAGTATCTGATTGATTAGTCTTGGTCCATACAGGTATGGGTCACAGAAAGAAGAAACAGTCTAAGCCTCTGTTCTTCTCAAACCCATCACTGGCCTGGGATTGGAATTTGTATTCTGAAGGAGGATTTTGAGAACCCCTATTACAACAAGCATGTCCTTACGATATTTTGTATATTGTATGTACGCATTTGAAACATCAAGGCTAACCCCCTTCTGGAAATAATAGGCTTGAGTCAAGGCAGTTTCATTGGATTTTGGTGGGAACTAACATCAGGGTAAGCAGGAAATCATGCAAACAGAGGTGCAGAAGCCCTGTGCCTATATTTCTTATATTAGACACTAGTTAGAATCTCATTCTGCAGAGTCAGTTGAGTAGCTACTGTTGAACACAGCAGACAATGTCAATAAGGACATCACACTGCCTTTTAACGCAAAAGACTATTTGTTTAGATAGCCCAAGTGTGGGCAGCTGTGGACTGGAGGCTAAGGACTGTACTGTACCTCTCTGGAACCCCCAATAGATGTACCCCCCCCATATCCCCCCAAATATTTGGAGGTCACTTTTTATTTGGGACCTAAAATGATCAAAAGACACCTCTTCATCTCTTGGCACATTATCAGCAACTTCACTACAATTCAGGGCATTTTTTTTGCACACACACTCTCATACAGTGCAGTTCTCAACTTTACCCCACTGTTCTCTCAACCTGATAGAGAAGGCAAATGGCCCATAATAATTCTAAATGAGCTTCACAGCTCTGTGGGAACTTGAACTAGGATCTCCAAAATCTTGTTCCAACCAGTATAATACACAGGGAAGATTGGTGGTGCAGGGAACTGCTGATTACCATTTTGAGCTTACTCAGAAAAGCCAACCAAAAATGGTCAACTTCTGCTTGGTATGATCTAAAGCCAAACAGATCTAAATGGAGAACATGTTATTTGTTTGCCCCATACTGTTGCAGTATTCAGTATTCCAGATGTTGTTGGACTGTACCTCTTAGCTTTCATCACCACACTGCCTACAGCAGGCATGGGCAAACTTCGGTCCTCCAGGTGTTTTGGACTTCAACTCCCACAATTCCTAACAGTTTCAGGCCGTTTCTTTTTAAGCGTCTGAGGGGGAATTGTAGGAGTTGAAGTCCAAAACACCTGGAGGGCCAAAGTTTGCCCATGCCTGCTGTAGATAGTGTGGTGATGAAAGATAAGAGGTACAATTCCTAACAGCCTCAGGCCCTTTCCTTTTAAGTGGCTATTAGGAATTTTGGGAGTTGACGTCCAAAGCATCTGGAGGGCTGAAGTTTGCCCATGCGTGGTCTACAGCCAATGAAAAGTAGACTCTCGCAACAGGAGGGCTATAGGTTCCCCAAATCTGCAGTGGTCTTTTAGGGACAATGCAGTTCCCTACAGATGGACATGTACTAAATTCCAGAGCACGGCAGGTGTCTCTCCTCTTGCAGTTTCCACCTGCAGCTATCATGCAGCTTTAGGCGTGGGTGCCACTCTCCTTTCTCATCAGGAGATTCTTCAGGACAGGTATAGGCAGGATAAGATCTTTGTTTTGAAGGATCATTAACATTTGGACAGAGACATTGCTTGCTCAAGAGAAGAGAATTAAAAAAATAATTCCTTCAACACATACCTAAGAACTTAGTCACCACTTCACAGGAGCTCCAGCTCACCATATATGTACATGCCTATACGTATGGTGTGCACATATTTCCAAGTCAGGTCTGTGATTACATTTGCCGAGCCAAAGATTTGAAGGGGAAAATTTCAGGCTATTAACAATGCTGCATGCTGAGACAAGCAGATGCAGTTTTCACATAAATAAGACAAGCTGGCATTCTTCTCTGGGAAAGAATGTGAGGCCATGAATGAGCAGCTTTAAGT